ATTACTCTTAATTGCTGTCCAGCTCTCTGTTACATAGCAAGTAATTGTGAAAACCATGGCCTGCTTCAGGTGCACTCTAGTCTCCAGACTTACATTGTGGCTCTTCAGCACTCTGGAGAGGTCCTTCACAGCAGATTTTCCTAACGCAATTCATCTTTCTATTTCCTGAGTTTTGGTGCCAAGAGTGCTGACTGTGGGATCAAGCACACCGGACCTGTTAACAATCTCAACCTTTTCTCCATCTGTCATGGTGCTACCAGTGGTAAAAATCTTTGTTATCTTGATGTTGAACTTCAATCTATATTGAAGACTGTAGTTCCTGATTATTTTCAGCAAATGCCTCCAGTTGTCTTCAGTTTCAGTAAGCAGGGTTGTGTCATCTGCATAACACAGGTTGTTGATGAGTCTTCCTCCAATCCTGAAGCTACATTCCTCCTTATAAAGTCCAGCCTCCCGAATGATCTGTTCCACATATGGACTGAAAAGGTATGAAGGCAGTACGTGTCCCTGCTGCACCCCTTTCCTGATTTTGAACCATGCAGTGCTTCCTTGATCTGTTCAGAAGACTGCTTTCTGGTCTAGGTAGAGGTTGCTCGTGAGCACAACTGAGTGTTCTGGGATCCCCTTTCTCCTCAAGGTTAGCCACAATTTGTGCCAATGTGATTCACACTCTTGGAAGCCAGAAATACAATCTCACCTTAGCAGCCAGCCAGTTCCTTCATGATTCCCTCTCCTCTGCAGCAGTGCCTCTCCCATCCTTTGGACATACCTTTCTTAATAAATCCATCCTTGCTTCTTATCTTCACTCCTATCTCCTCAACTTGCTTCTCGGCCTCGTGCTATAGCAAAGGCCTCGGCCTAGAAGTCCAACAAGGCCTCGGCCTATACTCTTGCCCTAGAACTCCAGAAAGGAGCAAGGCTTTGACCTGCACTGGGTTATTCTGGACAAGACCAGCACTGGTCCCTCTAAGGGGCCCCATGCTGTACAAAAAAAAATCGGCCCCTGAGATTGTTACACACGGTGTTGTGTCAGCAGACTGGGCACCGTGCCCTCCTCTAGTCTTCTGCCCGGAGAGACGTTCTTTAGCTGAGTAAGGAATGCTTTACCAGGGCATTGACCACATAGTAACAGGAGGTGAGACATTACATGGTGAGACCTAATTGAGGCCATGATCTCCTATAAATGAAAAATACCCAGGGGTTCTTGGCTCATGCGACCCTCTGCCTAGGGCTGCTGAGGCTGTGATTCTCAACGGCAGTAGGCTCTCTCCTCTTTCCGCCTTGAAGAAGCTGGTGGATTCACACCACTGATCTTTTTGGTCAGCAGGTTCCATGCCAAACTAACCACCACCAGCAAGCAGAGTTTGACCCCTAGTGACCCTCCACCAGTTCCCAAGGCTGCGAATGTTTACAAGGGGACACTGTCCAGCTCCCCCTCCCCCAAGGAGCTGCCTGTGGATTCAAATGCCGACCTTTCAGTGAGCCCAACAAACTATACTGTGGCAAAGTAAAATCCTACAATACAAAATATATTCCTCCTCCCCACTCCCACCCTCGCCTCACAAGCAGTATCTAGTGAGTGAGTGGATCACTTCCCCACAAAAGAAAAAGCATCAGGGCTGGTGCAGTACCTGGGGGCAAGATGCCGGAGAACAGCAGTTCAAGTGGATCCTGGTGCTTGGTGGGACAGACTGCTCACACCAGTCACTGAAATGTCCAGAGCTTAGTTATGTCGGTGCCCCAGAAACTCAGAATAAATAGTTTGAGATTTAGAACCCCGTGGAGTAAGCTGGCACTGAGTGTTCCGGAGGGGTGTGTAGATTTTGATGTCACATTGCTTTGCTTTGCTTTGCACTGGGGTTTTTCCCCCCCACCCTGCTTCTTTTTAAAAAATTATTATTAATTTTAATGAAAACTTACAGAGACTTTGGATTTCTATTCATTCATTGTTGCACTTTTCTCCCTCTCCTCTCCCCCAGTACACTCTTCTCTTTGAAAAGTAAAGGAAAAACTCTTTCATTGTTATACAGTCCCTCCCCCCAGGTCCACCCCACTATGCAGCCTTCATTCTGGACTCCTGTCATGACAATAATCCCTAATCACATATCCCTTTTAAACAGTTTTCTCCCTGTTTCAATGTAGTACACATTATTTATCTCATCTTTCTCAGTCTCCCCCCAACCCCAATGTCAGTCCTGTTTTAACAACAGTGGCACTATGCAGTATTTGTCCTTTTGTCATTGAGATATTTCACTCGGAAGCTGGGTTTTATAGGCCTGCACAACAGGACAAGGTGGCTACAGCTTGTGCTAAAGATTATGTTCCACATAAGACTGGTGGGGGGCTTTCCCTTTCCCTAGAAGAGGGTGGGGATTGGTGGGGAGACTGGACTGGTTCCTGGCACAGTGCCCTCACCTCTTCTCATGCACCGTCACCCCTTGTATTTGGCCTTGATTTTTCTCTCTCGGGATCTGCCCTTCAGCTGCATGAAATTCCTTCAAGGCCATGGTGTGTGGGGTGCTTCTGGGTGAGACTGTGCACACGAATTCCTAAGGGAGTTGTGTTTGGTTTGTGTGTATGAGGAGGTGTGAGTGTATGTGCACAGGTGGATGTACATGACTCTGGGAGATTATGTGATTTGAGTGTGTACATGGAGTGTCAGAATGTGTGTGGATGTGTATGTGGGGTGTACAGTTTTTGTTGTGTATAGGGTATGCATGGGGTGTGTGTGATGTGTGTAGGGTGTGCTAGTGTGAGGTGTGCCAGTGTGTCTCTGGTTTGTACAGGGTTTGAGGTGTGTGTGGTGTCTGCTGTGGGATGTGTGCCTGGAGGCGTGACGGCAGAAGTCCACGAGTCACCCTTCCATCAAATTCAACAACTCAGTTTGGTGTCTAGTAAAGGCTCTCATTGGAGATGATAATCCCCGTTTTCTTAAAAGAGAAAACTGATGGAAACCACTCAACATTAAATAATCTAGGTTGATAAGAGTGCCTTCAATTTGGTCACCTCAAAGCAAAAGAGCTCTGGTGGGCTAGTAGTGCCTTCAATTTGGTCACCTCAAAGCAAAAGAGCTCTGGTGGGCTAGTGATAAGGAACTGCACTATCAACCAAAAGGTACACGGTTTGAATCCCCTAGATGCTGTAAAGCCATTGGCCTTCCACAAAGGAATGCAGCCTCGGAAACTGTGGAGCAGTTGTAGTCTTTCCTACAAAGATGCTATGAGCTGTAACCGACTGGCTGGCAGGTAAACACCTCTTGGCTTATTTTCTGCCTTGCAAACAGCACTTGCACAATGTAATCTCTAGCCTACTTTCTAGTCAATTTTGGACTCTTCGCCGCATTTTCATGTAACATTACCCATTTGGTTCTAATGACCTCAAGACACAATGCGGTTACTTACCAATGGCTTCATTTCACAAATACAGAAAAGGACACTGGGTTTGGGTACAGCTGAAGCTCTGCCTCCAGGAAGGGCACTCCGAGCCATACCTCTTCATGCCGTGCTCTCCTCATCCCACCCAGCATCCTGCTGGACAAAGTAATGCAGAGATCGAATCCCACACCCATGTAGTTAAATGTTTATTCAATGAAAGGATGTATAAAAACTTACAAATCTGAGAACTGAACTGTACATGAAATAGGATGGTGGAATACTCGGTTTTCAACATATACATAGAGCAGTTATTAACGATTCTTCTCCTCGGTCCTTATTTCTGGCTCCTATTTTGTACCAAGAGACAATTGTGTTACTGGTCTGAGGGAAGATTAATGGGCAAATTTTACTGCTTTAGGGACAGTGGAGGGAATTTCAAGTATTTACGAAAAATAAAAAAAGGGGGAGAACAAAACATAAAAATCACATTTTACCCTCAAACAGCAATAAAAGATTTTTTTGGTCCTGATTTCTCTTTGTCATGTTTGATGCTTCAGTAGCTGTTGCCAGTAATCAGCACTAACTGTTGCCATCATTAAACTTACTGTCTCTGGCTCCCAGGAGCCTCTAACCTGTAGTCTTTACCCTGCATTTCAGGAAAGGATCTAAAAGAATTCAGCTGCTGCTAACCTGTTTACCAAAGGCAACTGTTAGAATGGCATACCAATGTTACATTCAGAAGGACAATTTGGAGCACAGAATTTTCAAATCAGACAAAATATTGTCAGAAATGGGAAAAAAATATCCAGCGTTTTGTCGTTTGCTGTTGAACGAGGCCAGCATCTAGATAAGGCATGTGCATCAATTCACCTGTTTAGCACGAATTCACCCCAGTTTCCCGTACAAACACACAAACCACAGCTCGTCATGGTTTACCCCAAAATTAAGATTGCCATCACATTATTACTTTTTTCTCGCCTTTTTTTTTTGTGTGTGTGTGTGTTTTTGAAAGTGGATTTTCACAAGTAAAATGATTTCTCCCGACTGGACATAATCTCAAAGGATGAACTCTGAAATAAAACACCTGGAGGATCAATGCAAAGAATCTCTGCTTAGATCCCACATGTCCCCACACCATGTAGATTTTGCATAGTACAGAGCCCAGTGCATGCTGTGTATTTCCCCAACATTGCTTTTCTGAGAAGGAAGACTTACTAGCCTAGGGCAGTCATAATTTTAGCTTACCAAATTGTACCTCTGGCTGGTTTGGTGTATATAAATATATATATACACACACCCTTAATTCGTTCCCAGTATGCTTTGAAAGAACTCGACTCAATTGCTTTCCCATATCCCCTGGTCAGGTAAACAGATTTCAGGTCTATAATGCACAGAACCTTTTTACCCACCTGGTTGTGGGTGGAGTAGGGTAGGGTGGGGTGGAAGAGGGGACAAAGAGAAAGGGGGCAGAGACCTGTTTTGAGTCATGCCTGTGGAGAACTGCCTTTAGAGTTCGGAACAGGGGACAGGAGAGGGGGCGAGTCTTTGTAAAAATGACAGCTTTGTAAAAACAAACAAATAAACAAACAAGAAGCCTTCCCCCCTCCCACCCCCGCCCTGTGACAGTCAGTCTAGTAATACCGTCTCCTGTTCCTTTTTGATGGAGGCTAACACCGGGTGGTCAGGTTCTGTCACCTCCGAGTCCCCGCTGCCCAGGAGGATGGCCCGCCCCTCGTCCAGGGCAAAGACGTCCGAGTTCTGGTTCTGGCACGAGTGTTTGACCACCTCGTTGGGCGTGGAGAAGGTCTTGTCACACAGGTTGCACTTGTAGGGCTTGTTGGTCTGCACCAGCATGTTGTCCATCTGGCTGCCCTCCTCGAACGTGCACAGCTCGAGCGTCTGCTTGTCCACCATGGTGTAGGTGTCGATGCTCTGGTTGAGGCACACGTGGCGCGCAGCCTGGTTGGCCCTGCAGAAGCTCTTGTCGCACGTGCTGCACTTGAAGGGCTTGCCCGTGTGAATGTACATGTGCTCCCGCCAGTGGCTCTTCTGGATGAACTTGCGCCCGCAGATGGTGCACTCGTACTTGCGCCGCTTCACCTCGCGCTCCTGGTCGGCCTGCTCCAGGTTGTCGATGTCCGCGATGTCCGAGGGCGGCGGCGTCTCCGCCTGCTGCTGCCCGTCGATGAGCGGCGAGTCCGAGATGTGCGGCAGCTCGCTGTCGCTGATGAGGCCGGCCTCGGGCGCCTCCATGGCGTCCTTGGGCAGCTCGGGGGCGCACAGCGGCAGGGGCGCGCGCCCGTCACCCGGCTGGCTGGCGGGGAAGGGCACCCCGGTGTGGATCTGCAGGTGCTCCCGGAGGCTGCTGCGCAGGGTGAAGCGACGCCCGCACAGATGGCACGCGTAGTACTTGGGGAAGCTCCCGTTGCGCTTCATGATGCTGGGCTTGACGTGCGCGATGGTGAGCGCCGCCGGCTGCTCATCGGACGACGAGGCCTCCAGGTTGGCCTCCTCCCCTGGCGCCGGGGGCGGGACCGGGGTGGAGACGAGTTCCGGGGACAAGGAGGCCTGCCGCGGGTCGGAGGGCGTCAGGGTGGTGCGGGGCGCGGGCGGCAGGGTGGCGGGCAGCTGGGAGAGCGAGGGGGCCTCGGGCGGCGGCTCCTGGCCCGCCCGGGGCGCTGGGGGCCGCGGCTCCCTCCCAGCCTTCTCGGGGCCCGGGGCCATCTTGGGGGGCTGGCGTAGCTGGTGGTCGGCGATCTGGATGCCGTAGAGCGAGGAGGCTAGCGGGAAGACCTGGTCGGGGTGCGAGAAGGCGCCCTGGCTGGCCAGGCTGGCCTCCTGGATGAGCGGGTAGGCGTGCAGGAACTTGATGCCCTGCTCCAGGCGCACCGGGTCGATCAGCTGCGGTGCCATCTTGCCCGTGTACATGAGGTGCAGGAGGTAGCTGAAGATGTCGGGCTGGATGTCGGTGGGCTTCAGGCGCACGCACTCGCTGAAAGACACAAGGTCCGGAGCTTACAAGGGCAGGCAGGCACAGAGCAGGAGGTGGGGGTCCCCAAAAGTGAAGGGGTTGGTTCACCATCTGAGGCCTCAACTCACCCGCCAGCGGGTTAAGGGAATAAATCACGACACTGGCCAGCTTTCTCCCCATGAGCAGCTGGTGGATTCAAACCTTGTGCCTTTGGGAGGGCAGTGCCACTCCTAATCATTGACCACCAGAGCTCACTAGTTAGAATTGTGAATTTCCCCACTTCTAGGCTCTAGTGTTTGCCTCGTTCCACAAACATCACAGATTAAAAACAAAATGAAAACTCTCAAATCCACTGCCATCCAGTTGACCCCAACTCAGCGACCTTCCTTAGGTTTCCATGGCCATAAATATGGGAGCAGCTGGGGGATTCAAACTGCTGGCCTTTTAGCTCACAGCCCAACACCTAACTCGCTGTACCACCAGAGCTCCTTTATCCAGAGGAAGCCAGAATAGGAGCAGCTTCTCAGGAACTCCTGTAGACAAAGTCTATGGTGCTATAAGGAAGCAACAAGATCCTCCTGTTCTTTGCCATGAGGTAGATTCGCATCCAAAGTAAAAATTCTGTAGACGATGTATTGCCAAGTTCAGTGCTCCCTTGAACACTCTGAAGTTGTAATCACTTTTGCCTGTTCCTTGGCTCTTTTCAGCAATCACTCTGTGTGCTATAATAGTTTTCAATATGCTGACGTACCCTGGTGGTCTAACAGGGAATTGCACAGCTAACCCAGAGACCTCTGTGGGTCTGGATCCACCAGCAGTTCCATGAGAGAAGGATGCACAATCTCCCATTGAATTTACATCCGAGGAAACCCAGCAGAGGGTCACCTCTGAGTGCGTCCTAACTTGATAGTAATGAGTTTTTATTCCAAATTTAATGTTTATTAGTATCAGAGAAAAAGAAAATAGATGGGGTAGAAATCATTTGTGACAGAACTGAGCATGGACTTGCTATCAGTGTGTGTCTATTATCAGGCGACCATGCAGTGAATCAGAACAATATGTGACCACCGAGGGAGCAGTCAGAGCCTACAAGTCAGCATCTTCATGACAGTGGGCAGGGAAGCGCTTGGGTGACGTGTCTCTTTAACTGTATCTTCACTTGAAGTCTTCTCTGACTGCCGCATCTCTGGAGGGAGCCCGGGTGGCACAGTGTGTAAGGCATCAGGCCATCACTGGGAAGATCCGGAGTTTTAAGTCACCAGCTGCTCGGACAGGAAAATGGCCAGTCTCCTCCTGTAAAGATTTACGTTCTCACCAACCTGATGGAGGACCACTGAGTCTGAACCAACCTGAATGTGGTGGGCCAGCTTTTGGCCCTGTCTCAGCTCGGTATCCTAATACAGGTGGACTTCCTTAAAGCGTAAGGCGAGCTCATTATTATGTGTGCAGTGTGACCTGTCCAGACGCTCTAAGGGAGTCATGGAGCTCTGCTGGAGTCAGGAGGGAGTTGGGATGCTAACTCCTCAATGTCACGCCTCTCCAGTGCTTCAAATCCACCCAAAATTCTTTGGGAGAAAGATGGGCAGTCGCCTCTCATGTGGTTGGTATGGACTGCAAGGCAATGAGTAAGCCAGTGAGTTGAAGAAAATGCATCAGTCCTGGTGACTCAGTGGGTTAAGAGTTGTGCTGGCATTGAAAAACAAGGAACTCATGCAATATTATTCAAAATGGGTGAACCTGGAGGACATTATGCTGAGTGAGGTATCTCAGTCACAAAGGGACAAATGCTATATGGTGCCAC